AGTGCTGCTTCGGAGATCTTCCTGTGAGCTCGGAGGATAGCTCAAGTGGAGCGCCAATGAGGGCCGAGGCCAGTGATGACAGCTGTCACGAAGGCTTCTTCGGATATTGATCCTCTGCATCGAAGAAGTCTTTCGCGCAATCCACGACAACGGTTGATATACGCCATCCCTTTTTCGTCGAGTTTCATTTCCACTGTTGTTAGCTGTGCCATGAGACGACTTTGATTAACACTTTCTGTTGCTTGATACAGGTTCTTCAGGTGGTTGTACGCGAGCTTGGCGGAGTTGCCGTATCCACGATAAACCAGATGTTCTTCTGTTTGTTCGGAGTTATGTTTCGTAGAAGAATTGTATACGCCATCAGCGACTGATACGTGTACTGTTGCTTGTCGTACTGCATCCTGTGTGTTGGGTATGGCAGGGATCCATTGAAGAATCCGAGAATCTATGCACCTTCCATTATCAGCTCGAACTCAAATGACCATGTATAAAGGTCTTTGCCGTCGAAAGGTGTCGATGTCTGCAGTTTCAAGACGTCCGCGAATTGCGATTGTACCTGAAGCGCGTCTAGTGTATTTTCTTGTCCAGGTGGAGGCTGTTGGTGTGGCATGAAGCTTATGGAGCCGGGCTGAGGCTCGTACGGAGCAAAGGTAGGTTGCTGCTGGTTTCCGCGCGCATAGGATGAGCCGTCGAGGCTCATTGGAGTAACACCGTTGTTGTTGTCGCTGTTGTTTGATTGCGGAGGAGTTGTTTGCTGGTGCTGCTTGTAGAAGTACATGAAGGAGAAGAATTTCTCCATCATACTTGGGTCCAAGCTTGTTGCCTGGTTTGTAGGAGTTTCAGTAGACTCAGTTGCTGGTCTTGTTGCCGTGCCTCCCTCTGTCTATAGACCAGAGGTTGGAGGTGGAGTAGGAATCGTGCCGGGAGAGCCATTAGAAGAGCTTCTCTCCTTCTGTGTTGCCATGTCTTTTGTTGTTGTAGGAGTGTTAATGAAGTTGTATCTTGCCTTGTGAGCTGTCATACCATGTTGGGCTGAGAAAAGCCCTTAGGATCTTTGAAGGCTATGACCCTGAGTAGGAATGTTGTAGTTGCAGAAGCGTTCTTAGTAAACTTTGTTGAACCAACTTGCACTAGTGTGTGAGAGCAAGAGATTGATTATAGCAAGGTAATACAAAGATTTTTTTATGATTACAAGGAATTTGAAAAGGTGCAACTAACAGTTAGCTTTTGCGGTTTGATACAATGATGACTCGGGCAACTGCTCAATACCAAGTCAGTTGTTTGTCGTTGCTGTCATGCTGTATTTCATTGAGTCAAAGGTAGCTGACCTTTGACCTTCCCGTAACCTCAAGCTGTTACTTTCTGTCAACCTCCTCGGTTGACTCGCCGTTGCTTCGCAGACATTCGACTCGTTTGCAGTCTATTGTTTTGACACAACAGGAGCGTTTAAATTACTTTTTTCCAACAAAGTACATTAGTGTCAATATCAACCTAGATCTCTTCGGCAACTTTCCGAGCTTTCTTGAACCCAGCCTGTGTGAAGAAATGAGGAATGAATGAACTAGCAAGCAGGTGGGTACAAGTAGGAAAACCTAAAAGTGTTGTACCCCATATTGTCTACCCCACTACAGCCTACACACACTATAGCATATGAGTTTGACACACCCCCATAGGCAAAGTGGGGGAGAACAAGAGGTCACCAGACCAGTCAAGCAAAGCAAAGCAAGCTCAGGGTGGATCACAACGTCACCACACATTCCGAGCAAAAATTCAAGGCCACAAGGCCAGTTCATATGCAAGATCATATATAAAGGTAAACAAACAAGTGCAGGTATAGAAAGATCACAGTACAACCAAGGTCAAGAAGTGAGCAAGTGAGGCCAAGTGGGCACAAGACCTAGCATCGTACAGAAGCGCTGATGACCACAAGGCGGAAGTGCCTTGGTAAAGATATCAGCAGTGTTGGCCTCAGAGGCCACGTAAGCAAGGCGCAGCTGACCACGCTGTTGCAGCTCATGAGCAAGGAAGTAGCAAAGAGCAATGTGCTTCGTTCTGTGCTCTAGTCTGTGCTCCCGACACAAGGCCAGCAAGGCCTTGTTGTCTACGTACAGAACTGGAGGAGAACGAGGCGGCTCTCCTAGGTCAGTCAGTAGGTAGGTGAGCCAGCGTAGCTCCTGTGCAGCCATGGCCCCTGCGTAGATCTCAACCTCACAGCTGGAGCCGAGAACAGAAGACGAGCGGGTGCACCGCCACGAAACAGAGCCGGAACCAAGGCTGAAGGTGTAACCCTGTGACGACCGCTGCGTAGCCTGGTCGTCAGCCCAAGAAGCGTCTGCATGACCTCTGAGGACCACTAAACGTCGCCCTCCAAGCACTAGCCCCATGCCCGACGTACTGCACAAGTAGCGCAACACCCTCTTCGCTGCAGCCATGTACTCTGGTCGATGTCTCCCAGGAGCAACATAGCGTGCCAAGATGCTAAGAGGGTATGCAAGGTCAGGTCGAGTGAAGGTCATCAGGTACATGAGGCAGCAAATAAGCTCTGGGTATGGGCCACTCGGCTCTACGGACTCATCTGAAGGCAGAGCTGAGAGCGAGTGGCGAGTAGACAGAGGAGTGGCCTAAGGCGAGAAGTACGTGAAGTCGAAGCGCTGAAGGGCCTGCTGCACCATGTGTGATTGAGTCAGGGTAATGGTTTGCTGTGCTCTCTCCTGGGTGATCTGCAAGCCAAGGTAGCTGCGCAGTTCACCCAGGTCTGTGCACGTGTGTCTCTTCTGCAGCTCGGACTTCACGTGGGCGAAGCAGCAGTGTCAGTAGTGGCAAAGACCAAGTCGTCGACATACACGAGGATGTAGAACGGCGGCAAAGAGGTGTCGGTTCGTAGAAACAGCGACGGGTCGGCTGTAGAAGAAGCAAACCCAAGAGCCGCAAGTGTAGTCCTCAGTGTGTCGTGCCACTCACGGGGCACCTGGCGGAGACCGTAGACTGGCCGCCAAAGGCTCCACTAGGTACCGGGGGGAAACGACCCAGTGAAGCCAGGTGGGCGGCGCAGCCACATCTCCTCGTGCAGGCTGCCTTGCAGGAAAGCTGTGCTGAAGTCAAGAGACCGAAGCTCGTAGTTGCGCTGAGCGGCTATGTGCAGCAGCACCCGAAGAGTGGTCATCTTCACGGTGGGAGAGAAGGTCTGAAAGTAGTCAACTCCTTGCCGCTAACTGAAGCCTCGAGCCACGTAACGTGCCTTGAAGACAGGCGGAGAATCCGACGATCGCTTCACCCTAACTGACTGCATCTACATGGTACACACCTGACCGGGCAGGACCCTGAGGGGGGAGGGGGTCTACCGGGGGAGGACCTGGCGCAAGGAAGAGCGGCGGTCGGGGGAGGGGCGTAATGCGGTAGGGGAAGAGACGGTAGTAAGGCACCGACTCGTCAAATGTGACGTCCTGGGAGGACAGATCACGGCACGAGGTGGGGTGGTAAAACTGTCAACCAGGCGCATCAGGGGAGAAGCCAAGAAAGACGCAGGGTACAGCACGGGGGGACAGCTTGTCCGCAGACAAGTCGCGGACAAACGCCCGAGATCCCCAGACACGAAACGCAGACGCATCGCCTACCTTCCCCGTCCACCGCAAGGTGGGGGAGGTCTCTGGCAAGGAGACCCGGGGCTGAAGGTTGAGCTGATGCGCTGCGTACTAGACCGCAAACTGCCACAGAAAATGGGGGGCAGCCGCATGCATCATGGACGTACGAGCGACGTCCATGACCATGCCAATGCGGCGCTCAGCAATCCCATTTTGCTGTGGAGAGGTCGGAAGCGTGAAGGTCTGGCGGATGCCCTGTGCATGACAGAAGGCTCCCAGACGGGCAGAGGAAAACTCCCCGCCTCCTTCAGAGTGCAGACGCAGAACAGGAAAGTCTGAGCCGGAACTCTCTCTGAGCTGGAGACGAGTTGCGCAGATCCAGTCTATCAATAGCTCAGCGACGTCACCCTTGCTGCACAAGGGGAACACCGTGGTGTAACGCGAGTAGTCGTCAACCACCAACAGGAAGTAACGCTCGTGACCCTGGCCATGGACGCGGGCGGGGCTCCACACGTCCATGTGAAGTGTCTGCAGCGGAGCCTCTGTCGGAGGAAACTTGGAGGAGTGAGGGGCGGCGCACTGTTGCCCCTCCACGCATAGGATGCAGATAGGGGCAGGCCCCGAAGGTATAGGAGGTAGGGACCGGGGGAGACCAGAGAAAAGGACATGGGAGGCCATGCCTCGGAGATGAGGCAGGGAGGGGTGACCAAGGCGGTGGTGCCAGAGGAGAGTCTGGTGGGACACAAGACGACAGGAGTCGGTCCTGCCCCGAAAATCCACATGCCACTGAGGATGTTCGCCCCAGGTGGGGGAACCTTGTTGACGTAGGTGCTTGTGGACTTCCAGGAAGCCATCTTTGCGTCCATGGCTGACTGCCACTGTGAGGAGTAGGGACCCTCGATCGCCTCAGCGTACGATCGAAGAGTCGGGATGTCTGGAGCATCCGGATCTCCCTCAGGGGCAATCAGCGTGGAGACGAGATGAGGCAAATCCTCCTACCTGTCCTTAAGGACGTCCGTGCTAAGAGCACACTCACCCCCGACGGACGGAGGACAGACAGACTCAGAATCAGCAACAAGACCAGCAGCGTAGTCTAGGCGACGGCGAGCGGCAAAGTCGATAAGCTAAGCAACCAAGGCAGACGCAGCAGTGGACTCAAAGGAAGGGTCAGTGACAACAGTAGCCAAGAGACGCGTGACAGTAGGAATGGCAGCACGAAGTGAGTCAGACTCCAAGTCAGCAAGGACAGGAAGAGAAGACTCTGGAGGAGACAGCAACGGGACATGCAGAGGAGCAGTGGAAGGACGCAATGCTATCTGGTGTGTGCCTGGGACCGCAAGAGGACGCGGACGCAGAGCACAAATACTAGTGCGAGCAGCATGAACAGGCGACGTAGGATGAGATGCAAGCTCACGACGCTCAGCAAGACCTCCAGTGGGACCAGTGTAGGGAGAAGGAGCAGGTAGGGGGGAGGCGGGCTGCAACCGTGACCGCGACAGGACAGGCTGTGGACACTCAAAGGGAGGAGCAGAACCAATAGAGGGCGGGAGACCAAGAACCTGCTCAGTGAGCGGAATGAAGTACGGCCGCGGCCGTGCAGCGCCTCTAGAACCAGCAGGGATAGCACCCGTACCCCCAGCGGCAGCACCAGCGCCAGCAGCACCTCCAGCTCCAACAGCGCCAACTCCAGCACCCTCAGAAGCACCAGCGCTAGCAGCACCTCCAGCGCCAACACCCCCAGTAGCTCTAGCTCCAGCAGCGTCAGCTCCAGCCGTCTCAGCACCACCCCCAAGGCCCAGCAGCTCCAGTACCGCCAGTACAAGCTCCTCCAGGACCACTGGCTCCAGCAACTTCAGTGCCAACCCCAGGGTCAGCAGTAACAGCAGCACCTCCACCTCTTGCAGCACGGCACCAGCGCCGGGAAAACCACTCGCGCAGCTCCTGCGGAGAGGGTAGCTCCCGCTTTGACGAGGAACCCGAAGGGTCCCCAAACCCAGCACCGCCAGAGGCCACACGAGCACACCCAGCACCCCCAGGCTCCGCACCCACAGGCTCAACACCCCCAGGCTCTGTACCCCCATGCCCAGCACCCTAGACTCAGCACCCTAGACTCAGCACCCCCAAGCTCAGCACCCCCAGACTCAGCACCCCCAACCTCAGCACCCCTAGCAGTACTAGAGTCAACAGCTACCTTGACAGGCTCGACTGCGTCTACCTGGGACACACCTGACGGGGAAGGACCCTGAGGGGGGAGGGGGTCTACCGGCGAGGGACTTGGCGCAAGGAAGAGCGGCGGCGAGGGGAGGGGTGCAGTGCGGTAGGGGAAGAGACGGTAGTAAGGAACCGACTCGTCAAACGTGACGCCCTGGGAGGACAGACCATGGCGCGAGGTGGGGTGGTAAAACTGCCAACCAGGCGCGTCAGGGGGGAAGCCAAGGAAGACGTCGGGAACCGCACGGGGGGACAGCTTGTCCGCATACAAGTCGCGGACAATCGCCCGAGATCCCCAGACACGAAACGCAGATGCATCACCAACCTTCCCCGTCCACCACAAGGTGGGGGAGGCATCTGGCAAAGAGACCCGGGGCTGAAGGTTGATCTGATGCGCTACGTACTCAACCACAAACAGCCACAGAAAATGGGGAGCATCCGCATGGATCATGGACGTATGAGCAATGTCTATGATCATGCCAATGCGGCGCTCAGCAATACCATTTTGCTATGGAGAGGCCGGAAGCGTGAAGGTCCGGCGGATGCCCTGTGCACGACAGAAGGCTCCCAGACGGGCAGAGGAAAACTCCTCGCCTCTGTCAGAGTGCAGACGCAGAACAGGAAAGTCCGAGCCGAATCTTTCTCTGAGCTGGAGATGAGCTGCGCGGATCCACACGATCAACACCTCAGTGACGTCACCCTTGTTGCACAAGGGGAACACCGTGGTGTAACGCGAGTAGTCGTCAACCACCAACAAGAAGTAACGCTTGTGACCCTGGCAACGGACGCGGGCTGGGCCCCACACGTCCATGTGAAGAGTCTACAGCGGAGCCTCTGTCGGAGGAAACTCGGAGGAGTGAGGGGCGGCACGCTGTCGCCCCTCGACGCAGGGGACGCAGGTAGGGGCAGGCCCCGGAGGTAGGGGAGGTAGGGACCGGGGGAGACCAGAGACAAGGACACGAGAGGCCATGCCTCGGAGATGAGACAGGGAGGGATGACCAAGGCGGTGGTGCCAGAGGAGATTGTGGTGGGACAGGAGACGACACGAGCAGGGAGCAGACTCAGGACGAGACCTGGACGCTGCAGCAAACACCTGACTCAACGCAGCTACCTGACCAGACTCAGCAACCGGAGGAGACTCAGTCGTCAGTGTGTACAAGCTCGACCCCGGGTGATGGGTGAACGTGGCCGTCCAAGCACACGTACAGTGGGTCACTCGCTGACTCGCAGGAGTGAACTGGTCAACCCCCCCATCCTCTAGATCAGCACCACTCACCAAGTTCATAGAGAACGAGGGGAGGTAGAGACCTGACAGGGTGCCAAAGGGGGCTGTCGGACACGGTAAGACAGTGGAGAAGCGAGCAAGGACAGGACCCCCAGAGGGGTCCGCCAGGGAGACTGCAACCGGCCGACTAAGCGGCGTAAGCGTGATGCGGTCTCGAAAGAAGGAGAGGGAAGCACCCGAGTCAAGGGTGAAGGTGTGTAAGGCCTGAGCCGACGTGGTACGTGAGAGAGCAGACTCACTAGCACCTGGGGCAGCAGACGCACTAGCACCTAGAGCAGCAGCCGTACCAGTACCTAGAGCAGCAGCCTCAATGCCCGGGTCAGGCGGAACACACAAGTAACAGTCACGCTCATCACTAGTAGACACAACCGACATGGGAGCAAGAATGGCATCATAATCCAGATCAAAGATAGCAACCCCCGACCTAAGCAGCTCGCCCCGGCGGGGGATCTCAGAGGCGTCAGGGAACTAGAGACGCCTAGCGTCCGTGAGGCGGCCGAAGCAGCGCTGGGTGGTGTGGGGTCCATCGCACGGCTCACTAGTGCGGTTGCCGGTACGCAAGACGTAGGCACAGGGACCAGCACCCCCACTCCGCTGACGCGTAGAGTACCACTCACGAAGCTGCTAGGGGGGCGGGGTCTCACAAGTGCGCTGCTGCTGTTGGCGCTGACCACCACCAAAGCCGCCACGCTGCGCAAAGCCACTCCGACTAGCTCCACCTCCTCTGCCGCCACCTTCGCCACCGCCGCCACCGCCTCCTCCGCTCCCACCGCCACCGCCGTCGCCGCCTCCGCCTCCACCGCCGCCACCGAAGCCCCCACCCCCGCCACCACTCCCACCACCACCCCCACTCCCTCCGCCTCCTCCACCGCCACCTCCACCGCCCCCGCCAGCCCCTCCAGCGCCCTTGCCCTCCTTGCCCTTGCCGGTGCGGCGTCGCCCGCTAGGGGTAGACGCAGCGCCGGCCAACTCGGTGCCAACGAAGTCGACGGTAGCAGCAGAGGCAACAGAGGGCAAAAGGGGGGAGGGGGAGCACCCCTCAAAGACGGGGGCACGAGGATCACCACGAGAGGCTCCTACAGCGACTATACTCTTCTCAGCTGCCAGGAGGCGCTCCTCGAGGAGGTCAATGGTGAGTGTGGTGGGGCAAACGGAGAGAAAGTGGTCTCTGACCGCGCGAAGGGAGTCAGGGAGCCGGGTGACTATGTAGTAGAGGGTGATGTACATGGGGGGGGGGGTTCTTGGCGCAGAACTTAGCAAGAAGCGCAGCGCGGTAGCGGGTGTCACTAGTGCGAAGGTGCGTAACGAGGTCAGCGACAGTGGGAAAGGCGGCGAGGTCAGGAAACAGGTACGGCAGCATGAGGCGGCTAAGAGCAGCAGTGGCAGGGGAAGAGTAGCGTGCAACTACAGCATCGCACAAGGTCTTAGCACTCTTGTACTGACTAAAGTGCGCACACTCAGTGGACGGCAAGTGACTACGCACAGCAAGACGGGGAGCAGCATCGCGTGTGGCCCACTGTAAGTGAACAGTGCTGTCAGCATTGGCAGCATGGGCAGTAGAGGCGCCAGACGTGAGATCGAATAGGGAGAGACCGTCCTTCCTATCGCACTGAAGGAAAAGCTGTAGATCATCGACCCAGACCTCAAATTCAACAGCCCAACCCTCAGCATCAAAGACTAGAACACTAGGGGTAGCCATGACAGCAGTGGCAGCAGGCTAGGGGCAGCAGTAGCAGGCGTGGCTCGGCAGTTCTCTCACCAGGGCTCGTGGGTAGGGGCCGGCAAGCGGTGGGGCAGGGCCGAGGCGCGTTGGCACGGACAGAGCCACGACCGCTGAGGCAGCTCCTGCTGTCAGTGGGGGCGGCAGTCGCTGCTGTCGGCGGCGAAGGCTATTGCTGGTGGTGGCCGCCGCTGTTGTCAGCTGCTGCTGGCGGCGGCGGCAGCGGCTGCTGCTGGTGGCGGAGGAGCCGAGGAGGGGCCGGGAAGGGTGGCGACGCGGCCACGAAGGGCGGCGACGGGGCCGAGAAGGGGCCGCGATGGGCCATGAAGGGCGGCGACGGGGCCGCTAGGGGCGGCGACGGGGCCGCGGAGAGCGGCGACGGGGCCGATAGGGGCGGCGACGGGGCCGCGAAGGGCGGCGACGGGGCCGCTAGGGGCAGCGACGGGGCCGCGAAGGGCAGCGACGGGGCCGCTAGAGGCGGCGACGGGGCCGATAGGGGCGGCGACGGGGCCGCGAAGGGCTGCGACGGGGCCGCTAGGGGCGGCGACGGGGTCGCGAAGGGCGGCGACGGGGCCGTGACGGGCGGCGACGGGGTCGCGAAGGGCGGCGACGGGGCTGCTAGGGGTGGCGACGGGGCCGCGAAGGGTGGCGACGGGGCCGCTAGGGGTGGCGACGAGGCCGCTAAGGGCGGCGACGGGGGCGCTAGGGGTGGCGACGGGGCCGCTAAGGGCAGCGACGGGGCCGCTAGGGGTGGCGCGAGGGGCCATGAGAGGGGCCTCTAGAAGGGCGCGACAGGCCGCTTAGGGCAGGGGACGCGACGAGAGGGCGGCCCACGGGGCGCGCCTCGGGCAGGGGCGACTCGCGCTTCGATCATAAAATTTTTTTTTTTGCGATTTTCAGTGGTGGGCTCCAGGAAGCGTTCCCACTAGGGAATCTGCTCTATACCATGTGAAGAAATGAGGAATGAATGAACTAGCAAGCAGGTGGGTACAAGTAGGAAAACCTAAAAGTGTTGTACCCCATATTGTCTACCCCACTACAGCCTACACAGACTATAGCATATGAGTCGGACAGCCTGCCCATCTCTCTGAATTAGTAGGCTTGGCTTGGTATGGGAATCCCAAGCAAGAGTAGCGACGGCTATGCTGAAATTCCTCCCTAGATCTTGATTCCCTGAAGCGGTGGACAGTGCAAGGGACACAGCTCATTATGCCAATCGCTATGTGGTGACATAGTGGCATAGTGGCATTTTCGCCGGCCAAGCGTGAGGAGATTATGAGATTAACGTTGGACCGTTCGTTTGCCCTGTCGTCGAAGCTTGGCGTTGTATGTGGTAATTTTCGAGTTCAGTGCTGTTTTACCAAAATCTGTTAGTGTTTTATCAATAATCTGCTAGACTACTAGCGACGGGCAGAGCTGGTTGTAGACGGACATCCATTTGTTGAGTGAACGATTTCTCGATTAAACGGGAGTGGGACCTCGCCGTCTCGTTTATACATGTCGCTTCGTCAATAATCAGCTAACTGGTTTCCTTACGACCGTATTTCCAGCTAAATGATAGCCGTCTAGCTTGTTTCCAGTTGGCGGTTGACCGGGAGCCGGCAAGATGAGGGGAGGCAAGTTCTAGTAGTAGGTGGTGGAGGATGGTAGCACGCGGAACTCGGAATCGCTTTTCGAGACGCGTTCTATCACGGATATCGTGGCGATCGAGGTGCGCACGAAGAAGGAGGTTAAGAAGAAGGAGGAGGAACTGCAACAGCTGGTCGGAGCGAGGTATCGCCACCTCATCGAATCCGCGGATTCGATCCTTGACATGCTGAGGTACGCAGTGGAAACCATGATATTTGTGAAATTGCGTGCATGCGAGCTTGATTGTGGTTGTCATGCTGAATCCATGTCTTTTGTGTGATTCCATGTCTTTGCAAATTCGATTCTCGACATGCGGAGGTACGCGTGGTGTGGAGACCAACATGTTCTCGAAATGGGATATGTGAGCTTGATCTCGATCGTTATGAGTCAGCAAGTAGGCATCTTGAATCCGCTCACTCAAAATCCCCATGTGTTTCTTCCTCTGGGTCTCGTATCATGCCAAGTGTGCGTGCGCATGTCTTTATGTCTGTGCGTTGACACGTGCCCAGGTCCTGCGAGGCGGTGTTGGGAAATGTAGCTATGGAATCGAACTAAATCCATTCCTTGTTCCATGTAATCTGGTGCATCCATTATCATGTGGCACACACATGCTCATGTTCATTCATTTCACATCCCACAGGTCGTGCAAGGTGGTGGTGCGCAGCGCAATGTGGCAGCCATGGAATCGGACTTTGCCTTGCTGCATAAAACCATTTCCACCACCGCCACCACCACTCCCGCCGCCGACGCCAAGCGCAAGGTGAGCACCTGTGTGATCACCAACTAACACGTGTGAAACGCCCATGGAAAGATTTTAGACTTTGCTCTGTTGCACAAAACCATCTCCACCTCCGCCATTGCCACTCCTGCTGCTGATGCCAAGTGCAAGGTGAGCACCTGTTGTTAAAACTAACCGTAGAAAGTAAGAATGAAGAAAGGAGGAGGTCACTAGCAAGCAGTGGGATACAAATAGCAAACCCTAACTGGGTTGTACTCGCTATAGAGCACCCCACTGCAGGCTAGATAATATAACATTCTGACACACCCCCATAGCCAAAGTGGGGTGTAATCAGCACAATGAGCAAGCAGAGTAATAGTTCACAATTATAAGCAAAGCTAGAAGTAATCACAGAGGGCAAGAAAGGAGGAGGAGGGACTGTGCGAGGATAGAAGATGGGAGACGACGGCTGAAGTTGCAGACACACGGGCAACAGGAGCTGCTGGCACAGTGGCTACCGAGACAGCGCCCCAGACTACTAGAGTAACTGGCTCACGGGCTACGAGGAGCTACAGGAGCAACGGACCCACGGGCGACAGGCGTAGCAGACTCTCTGGGCTACCAGGACAGTGCGCCCCGGACTAAAGGTGCTGCGGACGACAAGACAGTAGCCTCCACTCAACCTCCCCAAACAGTCCCACACCCCCCTACACACACCCCCAGTTTCACCCCTAGCTCCACTCCCACATCACCCCCCTAGCTCCACTCCCCACAACTCCCCACACACACACCCCCCTGAGCGGCAGCTGCAGCAGCGGGAGACGGAGGAGGAGGAGGAGTAGGGGATGGTGCACACAACGGGCACCCCCACAACCGCCACCCCCACACTCCTCAGCCCAAAACCCTAAAACGGGTTGCAAGGGGCAGGAGCGCGGGGGGACAGAGGGGGGGACGACGCGCAGCCCCTAGGGCGCCACCACGGGGCAGCAGGGGGCCACGTGCGGCTCCCCAGGGCGGCGCGACAGGGCAGCGGGGGGTCGCGCGCCACTCCTTAGGGCGCCGCGACGGACGGGCAGGGGCAGCGCGCGGCTCCCCAGGGTGCCGCGACGGACGAGCGGGGGCCGCGCGCAACTCCTCATGGCGCCGCAACGGACGGGCGGGGGCAGTGCGCTGTCAAAGAGAGTAGGAGCACGGCCTAGGCTTAGTAGCCTAGGCCACAGTAGGACTAGAACGAGGAGGCGCCAAGTACGAGCTAGGATTGTATGCAGGAATAGAATTGAGAAGGGAATGATTGAACTAACAAGCAGCAGGATACAAATAGCAAACCCTAAGGGGCTGTACTCACTATTGAGTGCTCCACTGCAGGCTACACAAACAACATATTCTGACACACCCCCATAGCCAAAGTGGGGTGTAATCAGCACAGTAAGCAAAGCAGAACAAGCTCAGGGTGGATCACAATGTCACCACCCATTCTGAGAACAATTACAAGAAGCAACAGTTTAAAGTTCACAATTATGAGCAAAGCTAGTGGTAGTCACAGCGTGCAAGTGAGGAGGAGGAGGGACTGTGAGAGGAGAGAAGATGGGAGACGACGGCTGAAGCTGCAGACACACGGGCAACAGGAGCGGCTAGCACAGTGGCTACCGGGACAGCGCCCCGGACTACTAGAGTAACTGGCTCACGGGCTACGAGGAGCTACAGGAGCAACGGACCCACGGGCGACAGGCGCAGCAGGCTCTCTGGGCTACCAGGACAGTGCGCCCCCGACTACTGCTGCTGCGGACGACAATACAGCAGCCTCCACTCAACCTCCCCAAACAGTCCCACACCCCCCTACACACACCCCTAGTTTCACCCCTAGCTCCACTCCCACATCACCCCCATACCTCCACTCCCCACAGCTCCCACACCTCCACCCCTCTCAGCGGCAGCTGCAGTAGTGGGAGATGAAAAAGGAGGAGGGGAGAACCCACACCTTTCACCCCCATGCTCGCCACCCCACCCCCCAACCACCGCGGAACACATGGCAGAACGGGAGAATGGGCAGCACGGGGGGGGGGGGGAAGGGGTGCAGGGACGACATCACGAGCAACTGCAGGGGCGGGCCGTGGGCTGCTGCAGGGGTCTTGGGACGGCTGCTGCAAGCTGTGGGCGGCTCCAAGAGCTGCTGCTGCAGTGGTGGGTGGCTCCATGGGCTGCTGCTGCAGTAGAGGGTGGCTCTAGGGGCTGCTGCTGCAGTGGTGGGCGGCTCCATGGGCTGCTGCTGCAGGGATGGGCGGCTCCAGGGGCGGCCGCTGCAGGTGAAAGTGAGGAGGAGGGAGGGGCGCCCCGAGGGGTGACGAGAAGGGAGCCGCGCCCCCCCCCCCCCCCCCCCCCCCCCCCCAGGGCGCCACGACGAGCACCAGAGAGGGCGCCGCGACGGGCCTCCAGAGTCGCCTCGACGGGCGACGGGGAGGGCGCCGCGCAGGCCCCCCGAAGCCGCCTCGATGGGCGACGGGGAGGGCGCCGCGCACGGCCCCCATGGCCGCCACGACGGGCGACGGGAGGGGAGGCCGCGGACGGCCCCCGTGGTCGCCACGACGGGCGACGGGAGGGGAGGCCGCACGGGTCCGTGAGGTCGCCTCAACGG